TACCAACACAGCATAACCACGAGTCGTTCAATGGCTCTTATGTGGCAAATTAATCGATTAGTTTTTTTAATCGACCATTTTTTTCCGCTGTCGATTTTCGAAGTGAATGAACGAACTGCAGCCAGTTCGTCGCGCCGCACGTCTACTTCGGGAGTGCCGTACAAGTGATCAGACTAAAAGACTTTAATTTAAAATTAGTCCGCGCGTGATTATAATAATTCGCGAGTGTTTTTCGCAAGTGTCCTGTGCTGCGAGGACATCCGACGACCCGACATCTGGAGAGGAGGAGGAGGCCTAGGAGAGGCATCGAGCATCGGCGGAGCAACCTTGCGGTAAATATACATTTTCTTTCTCAACATAAAATTAATCAGTTTCACATTTATTTGGATTAATAAATTCGATAATTTAAAATTTATAATTTTTTTTCGGGAAAGAAAAACAGTTTAAAATATTATACGCCTTTATTTCTATAAAGATTTTTATTGAAAATTATTTTATTATTTTAATGAATATTTAACTGAAAAACAAATATGTAGATTCAATATACGTAAAAATTATTTTGTAAAATCTATCTGTATCTATCATTTAGAACACTGTTATAAATTGAATGTTCTGTTTCTATGTTACAGAATCATCGTAGCTACGTGGCAGATTCACTCCGCTGTTGCGCATCGGATTGGTGAGTGACACAATTTTTTTAATGGGGTTACAAATCTGTGAAACTTGTCTTAGATTATTTTATTACATATTTATATTTATAAAAGTATTGCAGTTGGATCTTCACAGATTCGTTACCCTAAAAGGAATAGATTTAAACAGAATATCGATTTAACATGATTTTTTTAGAAATGGATATGCGTGAGTTAATTAAAATGTGATAAATTGAAATGATTGTGATTATTTCCCACATTAACAACGATTATTGCTTCCAGTTATTTCATAGATTAAAAATGCTGTAGTTTATCATAGTAACATTGCAAATACTACTTTTATACGATTAAGCGCATGAATTAATTAAAACTCATTAACGCAATCTTTTATTAATTTTGTCTGATATTTTCATTACTTTGATGCAAATTTTATATGATATATTTTTGAATCTGCAGATTGATAATTTGATTTAATAAACACGCGCCTAACGCACAGTGCGTAAAGTTAATTTTGTTTTATTAAATAACGTTTTATGATTATTTTAATTAATAATGTACATTTTAAATCCATATTTCGTATTCTATGTGACTAGAATGGATGCAGCGTGTCTGTAACATGCTGTCAGAAATGTAGGCAATGTAGATACATAGGTCGGCAAAAGTGTATTTCTTCGTTTGTTACGGCGAGTAAAATTAATCCGTATTTTTCATGCATTTGCATTATCATAATGCAATTGGGAAATCGAAAATTCCCTTGCGGCATGCTATTTTATCTTGATTTTATCGCATGCAATACACAGATCTTTAAATAAATACCTGGAACTCGCTCTTGAGCTTCCAAAGCGGCGGTTAAAAGTGCACATGCATTCCCGGGACTTAAAGTAACAGATACATGTTCCTCACAACTTCTCCAAAGTTCTTCTATGCCAAGTTCTTGTGCCAAACCCAGCATTTCAAAAATCCCACTGTCTTGTAATATTATCTACAATCATTTAAAAGGGAATTTATGTTCACTTGTCTTTCTCGCGTAATATAAAAGTTATAAATGTCAAAATGTTATCATATAAAATATGTAAATAAAAATGTACATGTTTTATTTGCCTAATAATTGAAATATAATATCGAATTTTAAAGGCTAGAATTCTATGTCAGAAATAAAGAAAATATTAAATGTCACACAAAACAAATTAAAAAGCTACTAAGTACTTTAAAATTTCATTAACTTTTATATAAGCTTACGAAAACCTCTACAAAAACATTACTTACAGTAATTAATAGTTTCTTTTGAGAGCATTTTTCCAGTTAATATAAAACAACATTTTATATTTTATAGATAGTATAATCAATTTAGATTTATAAATTTTTAAAAAAGCTTTTTTGATGAAGAAAGAATTTGTAACTCAAATGGAAAAAATGAGAATTGTGTTAAAAAGTGCCGTGTGACAAGATTATGTTGTAAAAGCAGATTTATTTTGTTGGCTGAACATAAAAAGCTATTAAATTGCACAATTGATACTTACCATACCGGTGTAGATGTAACGAATAAACTGGCGGAACGTTTCCGGATGCGCGTGCGGCATTCGTACCGGCGTCGGATTACTGGCTGTGCCGATCCTCTTGGCGGCCGTGAAGTTCTTGCACCTGCGAAATAGTTTTCGACAACAATGTCTATTGAAAGGAAGCATTGCTTTCATTAGAACTTAGTACTTAGAACAATCTGTCACGCTAGCGGATTTTCTTAAAATAAGTAAGCACGTTTCCGCCATTACTTTTAACACGATGCTCCGCGTAACAAAAGGGCTTAATTGACTTTGTCATGAAATTGTCGAGACATACGAAACCGAGGTATAGCGTGGTAGAAGTGTGCTTTTCCCCTATCCTTAGAAATTAATGGCAACCTTCAGAAGCACCCTCACGCCGCGTATCCCTCTGCGTTAGGATGGGAACAAGATAGCAGACGAGAATGCGTAGATCGAGAGAAACCCCTCGTGTCATTCATTAATTGTTCGATCTAGACCCTCCGAATCGTACAGAAAATTATGCTATTGGCGTAATAAACGGAAAGATATGCGTGAGGGTGAGACTAAAATAGGTCGCCATCATTGGCAGCATATTCCGACTCATTTTGATCAAAATCTATTTCAAGAATGTAATTTTGTAAAATTGCTGCATTGCTGTTATTTCTATTATCACTTAAAATTGGAAAATTAAAATTTAAAATTCTCTCTAGAAAGAGAGAGAGAGAGAGAGAGAGAGAGAGAGAGAGAGATGTGTATATATATGTATAATATTATTCATATAATGCTGATAAATAACGAGTTTGTATTAGATCATTAAACACACACAATTCAATTTCAAATATTGATATTATATAATATTTAATAATATTAATATTATTATTAATATTTAATATGTAAAATTTCAATATGGTATACGAGACAAACACACTTCACATTTGTTAATATCCTAAGAGACATAAAATATCACGAAATAAATCAAAACAAGAATTGACTTGCAATAAAATAAAATTCGAATAAACGTCGCGTGCCTGAAAAAACACAGTCTGACATCTTAATAGTACCCTAATCGATATGTTGAACTGAAATTGGATTTAAGAGACAGACAGTTTTCTAGTAACGAGAAAGAATGAGAAGCGAAGTTACAAGTGCCAGACGAGCGTAGTAGATCGATTCGTTTTTTCAATCGACACAGACAGACTTTGTTTTTATTCCGCGTAGTCTTAACAGCGTTAATTAGTTTTTGCCAGACAGTTCTATAGAAGGAAAAAGAAACCCATGAGATAATTTATGCTTTCAATAACGACGCTCGGAAGTTAAATCCGTTAATAGCCCTTGTATTATACTCTTCGTTTGTTATTCTACGAGCACTCGTCGCAAGCATTTTCTTTATTAAACTTGCCTCCCCATGCAGTAATTTCTCTTTTCTTTTCACAAAGAGAGCTCTGTAAGATTATCTGACTATAAATTTAGCACTGATTTATTTTTTTTTCTTATTATTTTAAATGTGGGAACTTATATTGTGCAATTTAATAGTTTTATGCAACTAACATAATAGCAAATCTGTGATTTATTGAAAAATATAATTACAATTTAGCTATGTACAAATTAATATGATGTGATATGTCAGATTCACCATCATGAGTATTAGTATTATATGAGTATGAGTATTAATATTATATGAATATTAGTATTACATTAATATTATTTTAATTAAAAAAAATTATTTACCAAATGCAAATTATATCATACAATCTATACTGTTACAAAAAACAATTTTGAAATTATTGTAAAATTTCATAATAAAATAGATTAGTTTCTATCTAAAAATACATAAGACATCTATAATGTAATAATTAAAGAATTATTTTTAATAGAATTTAATCCATATCAAGATTATACGCAAAGCGTATAATCGCATAAAGTACATTAGTGCTTTCCGTCGAATACAAAAAGAATTGTATTGTAAGATATACAGACGGAGCAATCTTTGAAGTCACACGGCATAGATCGCGAACTGGTGCTAGAAAAGCACGCGAAATATATGAAAAGTCTAGGTCGCGTGAGAAAACCGGAGTTAAAGTGGATGAAAAGCGCGAAAATATAGCCGAGCGCACCGGTCTCGGTTAAGCTGAACGTTTTCAACGGACGTGGCAAAAGTTTAGAGTACTCGACGCGAAATACGAGAGTGTTGACGGTACGTACGAAATCAGGGAAGGTTGAAATGATGTTTACCCGAATAAACTAGTGCTTTGTAAATCACGGTTTTACATCGGAAAATACACGCAGGAACTTATTCCTGTGTCAAAATTATAAAAACTTACATTATCATATCTGGCGATTCGGGTATATGGCATGGGATTATGAGTACTTGTTATTTATGTAACATATTTGCGTACAGTTTTAAACAATAATAAAAAGCGTTTATCGAACTACTAACAGTCAGTCGTAATTGTTATAATTGCGTAATAATGTAATGTAATTGCCGTTAAACGCGATGATATGTTATTGCAATTTTTTGTAAAAGTGTTCAATTTTTTCTCAAACAAATTGAAAACATTTAATTGTTTTAGAAGCCATGACATATCGTAAAAATTATTTTAAATGTCAGTATAGTATTTCCGGTGCCTCTTTGCCCGTATCTGCGACTGTCATCCAACTCTTCAGTTTAATTTACATTTATAAATTGCTCTACTCTTCGTCGAAACTCCAAAGTGAAGATTACGAGGCCTGCAGAGAAGCACGGAAAACGGTAATATGTGCTCTTAGAAAATTTTATTTCCGCTACTCGTCGCGGACGGGCGAGTCCTCGAGTGCGCGTCTCTTTATCATGATTTTCAATGCGGAAGAGTGTCGTAAAGAGTTTGAGCGCGCGGTAGCACGCATTGTCCATTCGTTTCGACCGCGGACATCTGTCACTAGCACGCGTAACTTAATTTTCCCAGGTTCATGTTGGCGGACAGTCAAATTGTGTATGAGAGAAATGGGAGTACGGGAGAGAGAAGCGGAAACAGAGAGAGAGAGAGAGAGAGAGAGAGAGAGAGAGAGAGAGAGAGAGAGAGAGAGAGAGAGAGAGAGAGAGAGAGGGGGGGGGGAAGGGAAGGAAGGAGAGAGGGAGGGAGAGCATACCAAGGGATGAAAGTGGCATAGGGTTTGAGAAAAAGAGTGCTTCTCTCGTTGTCTAATTAATTAGAGTAGCCAATCGATCCTTTTCGTCGTAACTATCTTCATAAACCATAACAGGCTTAATTAAAATTCATCGCTAGCACGAACTCCGGCGTCCTGCACTACGCCGTCCGCGGAAGTTCAATAAGTCGCTGTTTCTTTCAGTCGTCGCTTCTTTCTTTCCATTTTTCCGATAATATTCCTCGCGAGTTAAAATAACAGACTTTGTTCATTTTATCACGTATAAAAGGGAGAGATGTTTGCCATGTTTTTCAAAATAAAATTTCGAACAAAAAACACACTTTACCTTTTACATTAATATTCCTATTTAGTGATTTTTAATTAAAATAGTACTTCTTGTTCATTAAAGACAATTTGTGCCAGAATCTTTTTAAATGAACTATTAAACTATTAAAATATTTTAATTAAAATTTAATTCCGCATTTATGTTCACGTTGAGAATTTTACAGCAGACATTTGCAATATTTTCTTTGTATCAGAAACTCGTATACTTTAAAATTGATATTGATTCTCCCATGACAATTAATTGCGTATTTTCACGGCTTTTAAACTCTCCAAGGAAATCTTACTCGTAGCAATTTGATCGACATAATAACAGCGGATCGTTATTGAAAACTGCTGTTAACAATTAAATTTCAATACCCAGAGGGCATCACACATATATCTTTAACGAAGTAATCCGATTGCACGTGATCGTTTGAATTCCTAGCGGTATCAGAAAATATCGAAAATAATTGCTACAAATAATTTCTCAAGGAAATTTATTTTACACTTATCTATCTATTTAATTTAATCAACAAATCTCTCAAATTTCTAATCTATCGTGATTATATTTAAGATGTTTAAAATATCCCTGATATTTTAAACATCTTTGAATCTTATTTGGGTTTTCCACAGGTATTAAAAATTCCATTTGCTAATTACGTAACGTTGTAACAATATCGCGAGATCTTATTTTCTTCGAATTAAGACTAAAATTAATGTTTTCATAAATAATGGCTCGTTAAGGCTGACCTGGCTTGAAGTATTATTCTGTGGGCATAAACTGGGGTCTCGTCCCTTCCTAGGAGGAACACGATATCAGCTGAGTCTTTATCCTCCGAGAGTCGCGCCAGATCCTCCAGCAGTCTTGGAACACCAGCCAACCCCGCCTCGCCAGACATTCCAGCAGCACCTGCCGCCGCCGCAACGGCAACAGCTCTAGTTCCCATTGTTCTCGTGCTTGCCCCTATATATACAGACGATCGTTAATCAAAAGTGAATTAAGTAATCGACTCGAATAATTAACAAAACAAATCCTGCAGAGCACAAACTTGTCACCCGCGCCATAAATATCGTTATTGTACGTTCATGCAAATCCAACTTAATTCCTATATTAAAAGCACAAATAACTATAATTTGTAGGAGCCTCAATTTGTAATTATCTTGAGGTCGTATGCGACCGGATTATATATATATATATATTTAAAATGTGTTGGAACAAATGGATATTTGTTGCTCTGTGTCTATTGATGTTTTTTGTTATGCTTCGGATCGAAATAATCTCAGCAAATCACAGTTAATCTTCTCCTAATCTATCTTGTTGTTCGAGCAAAAGGGGACACGTCGCGCGCTTTGAAAATTGTAATATAGCAAAAGCTCTCCGCGCATTATCCGCATCTTGTAACTTTTTCCAATAAAGTAATTATCTAAAAGAACCTATAAATTTATCTATTAAAAATTAAAATTTATATACATATACATTCTCTAAAACAAAATTTAACTATAGCGTTTAAAGATCTTTATACAGTATGGTAGAAAAATTAATATATTTATAATTAATCTATATTCTCTCCCTTCCTTCTCTCTCTCTTTCTCTCTAGATCCAGTCCTAAAAACGTGAACGAAGAGAGTATTTGCTCTAAAGGGAGTACTCATTTATCATTTATTTCTTATCGCGGCCCCGTTGCCGGGAAAATCTCGTAATGGAAGACAACAGTAGCAATTTGCGATAATCCGAAATTAATAGGACTGCGAGAGCAGCAAGAAGTTGACAGTTGCGCGCAGCGGATGGCGACGCGGCCGGTCGCGTTTTTTTTTCACAAGTCGGTTGCGCCGCGCCACGAACGCGAAAATTCGCGGACGGATTTGGAGAAAAAGTGACAAAACCGATTAAGGTACAATCGGTGCTAATTGCGCCATTAATATTTGATTTGTGCGAGCGTGCGTGTTCGTTGATTCATCCCGTTCGATCGAGGTCCACAGCTAGGAGGGATTTTGTGTCTGCGGTGCGACGCCAATGGCGACCGAGCCTCCTGATTCCCTTTTAATTAGTTGGGGTTTTGTAGTTTTCGAACGCATCGGCCGTCGATTGTGCCACGACACGAGAGCTCGCAATCAGTGGCAATCATTACCCTTCTGATGCGCCTCTCCGCCGCACGCATCGTCGTATCGTATTCCGGGTAATATGATTCGATTAAAATGTCATTGCCAGGGATGCTCTAACGTACCTCTCTGATGATCTCATAAAGAACTAATTAGCGTTCAGCTTGACTCGAATAGATCGTGGAAGTGCACGTGTAAAATTGGTTATTACTGCTTTTCGTTATGGATAGTCTTATGTTTAAAGTATACGTTTCTCATCGAGATATCTTAAAGCATTGACAAGATTTTATCTTAAGGTACGTCAAGTGTAATAATGATGATGAATAATAATGACTCTTGAGTTAAAAAATTTACACGATAACTACAAAAATTTTCGATTACATCGATTGAAATGGTTATTTCATAAAAGAAATTTCTTAAACATTCATTGAGATTTTAAATATAAGTTAATTGAAATATTATCTAAATGCTTATATATAATTAAAAAGAATTGACCTAGAAATTAAAATAATTACGATTGAAGTTGACATTTCTATACATTTGTTATATATATGTATTAAAATAAGCCTGATATTAGATTTTTAATTTTAGCCATATATCACATTTAAGCTATTTATAAAATATAGCTATAATATAAATCGATATATATATATAAATATAACAAGATTTCAGAATTACCGATTTTACGAATTTTGGAAACGTAGGTATAAAAGTATGTAATATGCGATAAAATTGAACATAACATTTAAGCTATAAAGATTTAACAACCATAACTGCAATTGGTTATAAATTTCCATTTTTTTCGTCAAGTGTTAAAATTAGAATTTGCCATAGATTAGAAGAACGAAGCTTTATAAATATCTGACAATACAATCGTCTTTGCAGTAACATAATTAATGGACAACAATACATTCAAATACATAATAAGTATATGCATAAATACATGTAATATAATAAGATAAATCCAACCAAAATTTTATTTTAACTTGCAACTTCGAAAAGTTGAAGATCGCAAAACAGATCAATTATTATTTATCAATTACTTATGTTAATTTCGTTAACGCATCGGTTGAATTATGGTTTCATAAAAATTACACGAAATATCAAATTTGTTTTCCTTTATTTAACACCTACTGGAAAACATTCGAACACATTTACATTTATTTTTGGCTTGTCAAAAAATACATATCACATCGTCTGAAGCCCATACCTTGACACGTGCTCGCATATACAAATGGAACCCGGTTACGAATCGGAATCGATTATTTGTCACGACTTGTCATGTATACTTGTCACGATTACTTGTCATGTATACAAATCGACGGTGTTTTTGATAGGATTCGGCAATTTCTCCTCTTAAAATCGCCAAAAAGTCCGATCGGGTAACGCTTACCTTCGCGCACGACCGGATCGGCGAGACGCTCGTCGAGAGCAGGAGAGAAATTAACTCCTGGCAGATCACATGGATAAGCCGACAGTCGAATCTTGTATTGGGTATCCCTTCTTGTAACTGTTGTTTACGAACGTTTTTACTTTCGGTCACTTTCGAATCTTCGTAACTTCTTCACAGGAAGAATTCGCCGTGGAGAAGAAAATCTTGGGGAAAACTTTCGTATCTCGCAAGACGAACTCGTTTTACGAGCGCTGGACCAGGGTCCTTGCGCTCGACTATGCTACCTCTCGGGCACTCTCAGCGGCCGGTCGTTTCTTCTCTCTTTCTCTCTTTCCGCCTTCCCGTCGTCTCTTTAACTCAGTCGCACTACAGCTGGAGCCTATTCGGCTCCTTTTCCCGCTCATTGTTCTCTGTCTCTATCCCAAGAGACTTGTACTCCCGCAAGATCGCTGCTCCTTGGGCCCCGTTGTTGCCAGATCGTTCGTGAATCACACGCTCGAAAAGCGTTTGCGATACTACATTCCCACTACGGCCTTCCGTTTCTTCGAACATTACATTTTCGCATTTTTTTACAACTTTACACTTGCCGCGCATGCAAATTCAGACAGACTTAATATTTCTGATATAAAAATGAATTGAAAGTCCGCAGGTGGGATTTAGAAAAATTCACATCGCAAAGAATTTCCACCAGAAATGTTCGATTGACAATTGAATTGCAACCGCAATTCGTGTATTCCTGAAAGAAATCCCGCCTATCTCTGAGATTCCATGACAGGAAGTATGACGGTTAATACCATTTCGGAAATGGATTCTTCATATTTTGCGGTTTTGCGGTAAAGCAATAGAACCTGCACGATGCGGTGTTGTTTATCTCTCGAACGAGGAAGACTGTCTTGTTCATTTTTATCATTGTGGCCATTCAACTTTCTTTCGATTCAAAATCAATTGCTCGAAATCCCGGAAACTGTAGCGCTGTTATATCATCATTGTGATTTCGGAATTCTTACTCACTGAATAATATAATTGAGATATTTTCTCTTTTATTATTTAAAACAAATAGAATAAATTATATTTATAAAAATCTTAAAAATGCTCAGCGTTTCCTATCTTTTCAAATAAGAACTAAAATAATACATAAAATATAAAAAAAAAGATACTTCATTGAACAGAAGGCGTCATTAATGCTTTCAAGTATGAAAATAATTTCATCCGAGTCGAATCACTGCATCTAGAAATTTGTATATACATTATCATTGTCAAGTTCGACAATCTATTTTATTAGTCATTATGTTGCAAAATTTTATGTGATTATTAGAATGTTAGAATTCCATAACAAAAGTAAAAAATTTTCAAATTAGAATTATATATAATTATTTCTTAAAATTATGTTTTGTGATATACGAGTATCTGGATGCGATGCATTCAACTCAGAAGTTAACTATTTTCGAGAGAAAAGGGCATTATTGTAGTTTCTTATTATAGTTTTATTATAGTTTTGTAGTATCGGATTTAGTTTGACTTCTAAAATAAAATCCGTAATACGATTATATGTTAGATATTTGTTCTTTTCTCGATTGTCTTAATCTTTTTATACACGTGGTTGTTACTTTCCTTTCCTGCGAATCCGAAGATACTGCAGCTATGACAGATATAATGCAACGAGAAGTCGCTCGAGGGTACACCGAAGAATATAAAGAACCGGTCTTACCAGATTGGAAGAAATCATCGATCGACGGTAAAGCAGATTTAAAATTTTCACGATCCTCGATAGATGTCCAACATTGATCATTGATCGCATCGACTAGATCATGCAACAAACATGAGTCGTTTGGCTATCATTGATTTTATTATTCATATTGAATAATCAAAAAGGTCAATTTAGTCTGTTGAGATGAATCGATATAGATCGACTAGTTCTAAAAATTAAATATTGATGTAGAAAAGGCGTATTTTTGTTCTTCAAGTAGTTTGATCAATTTTTCAATGAATAAAATTTTCGTAAGCATTTTAAAATTTATTTAATTATATTTATTAATTCTTTAAATATTAAATTATTAATTAATATTGCTAAATTGAAAAGATATTCCACATCGCTGTAAAATATCCTCGAGATTAATTCGAGTTGAAATTATTAATATGAAAATATCAGTTATAAGTGATCAGAATTGACCAATAATACCGTCTACAGCTTGCCCGTTTGTATTCGTAATTACGCTTACACGTGTATTGATTTGTCATTTATTGTTAATTTTCATCATTCAGATTCAATAGTAAGTTTTGGATCAATTTAAAAATAATTACGTTCAGCCAATTGTTTTTAATGTTTTTATATTCAAATAAATATGTGTAGACTGGTATGTTCAAATAGAAAATAGGTAATTCAAGTATTAAATTTAGTGGATTTTTGGCGCTTACTAATCTTTTTTCAATTTAAAAAATTTTTGATTAACAAAGGCTAAATATTCTGAAATTTATTTAATAAATTCTTATTTAATAAATTTCAGAATTAATTCAAAATTAAAAAAAAGAAATTAAGAAGCATTGAAGATCCTATCTGACCAAGTAATGCATTAATCAATTACATATTTTTTGTTTTTGTATTAAATTATTACATATATTGTAACAATTAATCAATATTGGCAAGTCATTTATAAATAGTAAATTTTAATTTTTGTATAAAGATCTCTCTTAAATCTCATCTCTAACTAATTAATTTCTTTTTTAATTATATTAAAATTTATAATAAGCATTTTTACAGAATAAAATTTTTAATTTATAAAACTTACAAAACTTATCAAATAACAAAAAAAGAATATAGAAACAAGACAAGCAAGAGAAGCAAATCTGGAACGACAGAATAACTTCAGAATGAGTAAATTATTCAGTATACTGTTTGTTAAATGAAAAATTAATTATTCGTAATTATTTCACTCGTGCAATTTGGACATACTTATATTTCACGATTCAATAACATAATTCCACTGCCACGTAGTCGGCGAGTGAGGAAATATTTTAATTTAAAATAATGAATCTATAGAAATTTTATTAGCCGTGCGTAAAATTTTGAAAAAAAATCATAATAATCCTCTGGGATAAAAAGCAAAAATAATTATTTGCAACTGTGAAAATTTATTCTTTTGACCGTTAACGAGGTTGCCGCGTTAAGACCGTTTACCGCAACGGAAATTGCGAGGATCCGGAACAAAAAGAGAGACTGGGGGAAAATGCCTCATATAGGATTTGGACGAATCAGTCTAACGAAAGAGGCCTAGCAGACGTGGAGAATCGTTTTGCATAATAGATTCCGTGCCGCTTGCACGCTAGTGCAAATAGAAACGAATTCCTCGGCGCATTCGACGTAACAATCGAATCGGTAATCAAGCCGGCCTCGATAATCGAATCAGACCGGGTACACGTGTAATTGAAATTTCACAGTCGACCAGCGCAAATACCATGGCGCGCAGCCATTCTTCGAAATTACGCCACCAAATTTCGTTTTGCTTGTCGGCGACATCGATCAGCAGGATGAGTTACGCTCGCGGGAATTCCAATAGTGTTCGATTTAAAGACTAATATGAAATACATGAGTCAATAAATGGTAATGGAATACTAACCGAGGAAGCATTTGTTGGATATCCGAAAATGAGACCGGGGAATGACGATTTGCCGCAGTTTAATTAATTTTTGACGTTAACCGCTTTAATAATTAAACCTCAAACTAAATTTCTATCAAATTAACCGCTATTTTAAATTGATTGAAAAACGAAGCTCGAAATACACCCCATTTGCGTGGGGATTGAAAAGCGAAGCTCGAGATACACTCTATTATATTTCAACTCGCATCAAGAGCTTTAATCCTTGGCATTAGCTAATTGTCAGTAATTAAGGTCAGTAAAGAAGGTTTATGTCTCAGAAAGTTTGTCGTTTTATTATTAAGAAAGATAATATTGATGACACAGACCACGTCGCTAATTGCGTATAGCTGCGATAAATAATTTCAACTTTGTGGAACTTTGTGGAACTTTAAACACAAGACAGAAGCAATAGAATAGTAAACGTATTTCTCTTAATCATCTTGGTGACTAAAACGAAACAATTAAAATACTAAAGTAATTCAAGGAGTGACGAGTATTCTCAGCGAATGATTAATTGCGATAGGGCAAAGTAGATACTCAATTATCACAACTACTCGTGGTGGGGTGCTTTTACTCCTGAAGATAAAGTCGGTATCGGTTCAGTGCGAGAATAAGTAACAGATGCTAAAAGAAAGAAAACAGAACAGCAGAAGAAAACAATAGCGATTCGCCCCTCGATCTCGTCGCCTTCTTCGTGCAAATTGACCCTAGCAAAGAAATCTTTTCTCGCAAACTATTTGCCCTTCTTCCGCCCCCGCGTACCCCCAAGCCATCACCTATCACCGGCATGGCTTTGTCCTGGAAATCCCGTGAAGTGTGCACGTTCAAAAAGTAATACGGCAATAACCATTTCTCTAATATCGACGATCGCTGTTGTTTAAAAAGCTGTTTCAATAACTAGCGATAAATCTCGAATAATTTTCTGCTCGGCACACTTTATTCTTGGTACGCTCACTGTAATGATTACGAGAATAATGGTAAAGGCAGGCTCACTATTCGCTTAACAACAGATGCATCGGTACTAGTTATCGTAAATCACGATTAATATTCGCAACTCGATGTATCATATAATATAATATAAGTTGTGAAAAAATGTTGATAAAAATTGTTGGAAGAAGCTTTTATAATACTTTATTCAAAAAAACTTCCTTTTATAAAATTTTATTCAAAAAAATTCAAAAAAATCTCCTTTTGATCATGTCCGTTATTCGTTCCATTTTATACATATTAAATATTGTAATACTTCTATTTAAAAATTATTTTACATTTTTTACAGATCATACGTTTTCATTAATTGTGATTTAATCAGCTAGCATCATAAAAAGTAAAAAATGAAATGATTTACATCTAAATATTCAAAGTACTATTTAGTAAAATTAAAATAATATAAAATTAAACTATTTTGTAAGTTAATATGAAAAGCACACATTTACAAAGTAGCTTTTTGTCTTTTGTGTATCGTCGGTGGCTAACGAGTGACAATGAATTTCAGAATTAATTTGCAAGTTTTCCACTCGTGCCTTCCATTCATCTTACACTCTGTGGTGTAACATCCGTCCTTTCCTTATTACGATGTAAACACAAAACTTGCATCACGGAAGAGAAGTGGACGACGCAGCGACGACATGCACATCTTACGAACGCGCGTCGTTTTTTTTTTTTTTTCCTTCTAAAGACGGGACACAGGGAATGCGTAATAAGTTGGACAATACTCGACACGCTTTCCAGCGACTTCTCTCACATTCACGCATGACCCACGCCATTATCTTTTCAAGAACGTCCACTTTGTACTTGTCCGTTTGTCCTCTTCGACCGAGCTGCTCGCTCTTCGTAGATGACGAGAGGCTCGATCCTTCGTCGGAGAACCGCCGGAGTGTACACGTGCCCATGCAGAGCGAATTTCGTATCGACGATTAATCAAACGGGAAACTGGTTTTAATCCTCGCGCGCTTGTCGAATGATATATCACCCGTTTATGACTTTCAAGTGCCAAAGCTGCGCGCATAGTGAACATAGGAATGTAATTTATGCGCGATAACGAAATTATTTCCGTCGCGTTAAAAGCAAAAATTAATTTGTCCCGATCAATTATGAAAAAGGAAAAATGTAAGGTTGACAGAGCGGAACATTCGGACGCGCTGCCACCCGCATTTATTAATTTCGCAACGGGGCGTTTGCGAAAGTACACGGCGACGCGATCGAGTAAATTTTGCGTGCACGAGCGAAAATTACGCGTGTTACGCGACACGAGAGAGGATCGTCCGTGATATATGAACAATGGTCCAGTATGCAAAATAAACGCGGCCGCCGTCGGCTCGACAGCCGAGTGTATCTCGAAAACGGACGAGGCGTTCCGCGCATATAATATTCGGTGGCGTGCTATTGTGGCCGCTAATGGAGAGTTCGGCGGACGGGGACGGCAGGAGGGAGAGGAGGCAGGGAGGAGGATAGAGGAGGAATATCGACGTATATTTCCGCTTACGCGTCAACG